TATTATTGTATAATACTGTATAAGTAGTATTGTGTAATGAACTCAAACCATTGTGTATTTAGCTCAATTTTTGCTACAATAGGCTCCATTCTTAACTATGGGTCATCCATAAACTGGGCATTCTTAACCAGGGACTACCTGTAGCTCAAAATTGTTCACATTTTAACAAATAGTAACTTTCCAGAGTTTCAGGTTCAACTTCCCCAATCTGGCCTGGAAACTATGCACATTGAATTCAGGTGTTTGTGTGTGTTTGAACCAGAAGTTCCCTTTTACTTGGAATGCAGCAATGTTATATAACCATTAACCTTGGTGTCAAATCAACCCAACAAAACGCTGAATAAACCATAAACTAACCACAACTTCTTTCAAGAGAAAGGAATGATTCCCTGTAATGAATAGAAAAAATGAAGTAAATCTAAATGATTTGCCCTTAGTTCCCATTAAAATTAAAATGTGGAACATCTCAAAATTTAACTTGTCTCACAGATTTCAATGTGACTCCAAAAAGATTAATTTAGCCTTCCCTGAATCCAACTATTGGGCTGAAATGCTAATTTACTTGGATTTGTTACCCAGGAAAAAGTAGGATCTGCAACTAAACTGCTGTCACTTCCTATTCATGCATCTTTCTTAAAGAATCTAGATTAGCCTTCCCCAACCTGGTACTCGCCAAATGTATTAGGATTACACATATTCGAGCTATTATAGCCCAACACTGTAACTTTAAGCTGGGAAAAACAATTTTCTTAAAGCATATTATTCTCAGCAAAGATTCTAACACACTTACTTCAGACTTATTCTCAGAATATTTATCCCAAAGCCTTTGAATTTTGCAATTGGTATGCTAAAACAGTCGCCTCTAGCAATCAGATGATGAGCCTCTGTTAAAAGTTATTCAATCTGACATTCTCTTTGCCTTAATGTGTTAGCCCTTCTGAAATTATATATAGTTCTGGCATTCTTAGAGCATTTAAATTATAGTAACTATTTCCTTTTTTAATAGAATATACATGATAGCTTGGTTTGGGTGATACCTAAGACGGAAGCATTGCAGAGTTATTCATCCAAATTTACATGGTAGAAAATTAAAGAATCTCCAAATTAAGCTTTACAACTTGTTTTTGGTGCCTTCTGATAATAAAATATATAATATTTATTCCACTTTACCTATCCAAAATAGAGATAGGCTACCAAGCTTTAAAAACCATGTTCAGAAAAACTGAAAATGAAGTGTTTTCTGAAAATCTGTCTATTGTTGAATTAAGTACATTTAATATCTAATACAGTGACCGCTTGTTTCTGTGCAGAGATTATGGGGCGTGTTATGTCAGAGCTGCTGGAAAATTTAAAAAAAAAAAAAAAGGAATACCTGTTAGCATTTCTGCTTCAGAGAGATTAGTTTAAAAGAGCAAAATTGGATTTGGATTCGGTGAGGCCTGGCAGCCAAGTGAGATTTTTCAGCTCAGTCATTTGTAGTCATTCTGCACAACATCAGTGCTTAAAGAGATTTCCAGTAACTTATCTGCTGGATTGTGAACAAGGAAACCTTACTTTTTTTCTGGGAAGGCAACACTAAAAATAAAAGTGCAATTAACCTACTTCTCAGTGCCAGAATTGTCTTGCCACTTTCTTTCCTTCATTACCTGTCCATAAAGCACTTGATGTTTCAACGAGTCCCAGTGCCATTTTATATCTCAAAAGAATGTCTCATTGAAAAATTACTGCTCAAAGAGCAGTTCTGTTCAAAAGGCCAGAAGTCCAAGAACGCATTGGTTCAAGATTTGATAGCTGCCAGCCAACATCAGGCAATAGATTTTCTGTTTTTCAGTATCCTTTCTTTATATTTCTTCCTTTACTATATATTATGTACAGATTTCTGTAGTGGATTTACATTTAATCAGCCCTGTGCTTGCATTCACACTATCCAATACAGAAATGAATATACTGTTGCAGTTTCAATCTATCTGTATAAATATTGAGCTGATAGTTCTTTTGGGGACCTGATTTGCCTTTGTGAAGCGTAAATTGTCAGTGTAATCCATGGTGGGAGAAAAGTAGAAGATTTGGCTGCTGCTAAGCAAAAAAAAAATAAAAAAATAAGCAGCTGGGAGATCCAAAAAGACAGCTGTAGATCTCTAGGTATACTTGGAAATTTCAATAATGTTAACATTAGTCAAATACCCCTCCTGCTGCCTATTCTGTGTAATCTCTTGAGAGATTATGTTCTGCAAACACAGGAATTTCTTTTTAAAAAGAAAAATATATATCTTTATTTAAAAACATAGCCTACTATCCAAAACATAGCCTAGGAATCCAAAATGATATAGCTCACTGAAAAATGTACTATATGTGCTTTAATCAGTTTTTCAATAAGCAGCAAGGGATTTTCCCCATTGCATGCTGTTCTTCTACACAGCAGACAATATGACATAGCATATAAGTTCTTTTCCCCAACATATATTTTGTTCCAAAAGGAATCAGGGACAGATCTTCCTATACCATCTTTCCCTCTTCCTCTCATTTATCTATTACCTACCTTAATTGCTTGGAATTGTGGGTGTTGTACTCCCCATACATTTCCTGGGCACCAAGTCTGTTTATTATTTACTAATTTACAGTTTGTATAACATGAAATTCAGAATGGTTTATATCCTTTTTGGATATATGGATGGATTACATCCATAAAAACAAATTAATCATAGCAACATAAATGATCATAAATTGATCTAAACTTCAAATAAATAAAGCCAGTGTCTCATCCTACCAGCAATGGCATGTATATACACCATTAAACCCTGGAGACCCTCCAAAATAAAATAATTTTAAAAGCCTTCCAAAATGACAGCAAAAAAGGAGCCATTTTGGACCTCTGAGGAAAAACACTTCAAAGGGCAGGGGCAACCACCAAGAAGACCTGCCTCTAAGTCCCCTCCAACAAGGAAGAGTCCTGAAGCACCCCCTCTCAGGTTAAATCCACAAGATGGGCGGATTCCATTAAGAAAAGATGGTCCCGAAAGTAACTGGGAGCTAAAGCCACATTGGGTTTTACAGGTTAAGACTAGCACTTTGATTTGGACTACTGGCTACCAGTATGGGAGCACAGCAGTTTCTGAATCTTTGTAAAGGTGGTCAGTCCATGCCATGGGCCTTGCAGCATCTAAACACAAGGTGATAAGAGTGTGAATCGCTGTCATAAGGGCTTCCCATTCAAAAAAAGTGTCACAACTGCTGCAAGTTGGGTGAAGACTGATTCATGCTAGGAGTGATTAGAATTACCATTCTGAATACCAAAATCTGCAGGTTAAGAAACTATCTCCAGATTCTTCAGGATAACTTTGTTTCCTGAAATAATAAAGAAATAATGAACTTTGAAAAGTAAACTTACAACACAAGGCTTTTTGTAGTCTCCGGATCTTGATGGCTGTACGGTAAGCAGAAAAGCGCACGTTGTTCAAGTCAGCTAAAAAAAAGCGAAGGAAAGGAAAGTTAGTATATTCTAAGGAAGCATTAACCCGATACTATCAAACATTTGTTGTCAGTTTTAACAAAAGGTATCAATAGTTGATTCTCTCCTTAATTAATTAAGAGAAAAAAGGAATGCAGTCCTACAAATCAAGTGAGAGTTTAAGAGTTAGTTCCAGTTCAGAGGAATGAATAGGATGGTGGCAGCTGTTTAACATTTTAGATAGTTTTACTTCGAATATCATAGTAACATTTACATGAATGAATTCATATGAGAAAAAACAATTTATGCCTGAAACATGCCACTTTCTTAACATACAAAACAGACTAGTTACTGTAACATGGAGGTGTGCAACTTCCCAGGCCATGAACGGCTATACCAGAGACTGTACTTAAATAGATCGGAACATAGTAGTAGATGGACCCAGGACAAAAGTAAACTGATTTGATTCAATGTAAATTAAGTCAAATATAGTCAAAGTATTTTTTTTTTAGTGATAATCCTTGGAGATGCTCTGTGGCCATTCCTAAGCCTTTCAGAAGTGCATGAGACCTTGATCTTTAGTAGCACACCCTGCCCTGCACCAGCCCTTTCCATCTGGCATATTTCTGGTGTGGCCCTCAGAGGCTCCTTGTAGCAACTCCCACAATTCCAGGCTTGCGTGGTCAAAACTTCAATAAACACACACTGGTAGCAACTTCCCAATAGATGTGAATTCTATGGGAAAGGGCCACATGATTGATCTCTGACTATGTGATTCTTAATTTCAATATATTCATAGCCAGATAAGAAGTGCTAATAATGCATCTAACAGCAATCCTTGATGGCTGTACTCAGAATGTTTATTTCCAGCCTTTTCTCCAGAAGCTTGAGGTGGCATATATAGAGTGCTCCTTCTTTCATTTTCCCCCCTGTAAAAACAACTGAGATAGGTTGGGCTAAGAGAGACTGATGGGCCTAAAATCACCTGTGAACTCTCCTGGCTGAGATTTAGAAAGAATCTGGTAACACTTTTCCAGACTAATGATTTTATTAAAAGGCATATGCTTTTGTGAACTGTAGTTCATTTCATCAGATACATGGAATGGTTAAAGTTGCTTAAAATGGGTGGCCGTATAAATCTTTTAAATGAATAAATATTTTTGTTTTATTGTTTTATTATTTATGATTGTTTTATTTATTGGCTTTATTGTTGTTGTAAGCTGCCTGGAGTAGCTTAAGATGGGTGGCCATATAACTTTTTAAAATAAATAAATAAACTGATGTAGGATTTCAGTGGGGATGATGAAGGTGGTAGGGGGAGGAAAGAGTGGTTATGTACATGCAGGTTTCATGTGAGACAGGTTACAAGTACCTGAACAATTAGCAATGGTAATGGATGAAAACCCTTTACAAAAAAAGACTATCTGGGATAGCCTGCAACTTCTTAACATGAGTTCTGCAGTGTCTCACTCTATTGGGCTGGCTTTGTTTTTCCAAAACATCCACCTCATGACCAAGACAGACTTGAAACCAAGTGTCTCTAGTCCTGAACTCAGCACCTTAACCATTCCACAACACTGGCGATTAAAAATCTATTGCTTTCATAATGCAGTTCTTGTACCTTGAACTTATTATTAAGGAAGTGCTAGCCAAATTATATTCCTTAGAGTGTCATCAAGTATTTTTATGAAAATGTCATATTCAAATGCCAGGGATGCCATGCAGCTATGCCTTTTTTTTTAAATGAGTTTGGAATAAATATAATCATTATACCAAAACTCTGCTTTAAGGGTAAACTGCAACATACTTTAACTAAAAGGCTTACAATTAATAAACTGAACTTGGTGGATATTAAGGAGGTACAATGTCCTTATGGACCTCAAAACAATTTCATATTTTGTGAAAAAAGCACAAGAATATGATATAGGCATTGGAGGTATCTGACTTTAAGAACAATTAACCAGAATGATATTATAACAAAGCGTAGGGTTGCTTGTATCCTGCGTACGTGGCACAAACTGCACTTTTGCACACAGAAAGACTTTAATTTTAAGGGTACTTACATAGTGATTGGAACAGTTCGGTCATTTTAGGATGATCCCAGGAGGTTGTTTGAGTGTGATGACTGTAAGAAAGAATCATGTATATTATTTTCAATCAAAATGAAGGAAGCAGGAAGCAAAAATGAAATAAATAATTTGCCTGAGAATAATAGCTATATTGTTAATATACAATGATCAAATTTCAGAAATCCAAGCAGCTATGGATGCTGAAACAATTTCAGACTCATGTATCGTGTATACTTATGTACCGGTTACACAATATGAAATATCAAGCCACTGTTGAAACATGGGGAATTTAGCAAGTAGTTATTACTATAGTGTCAGAATCTTTTTTCTCAAGAGTATGTATTAGATCTTTATAGAATAAGATTAGTTCTTTGGACCCTGGCTCTACATTTCTCAGATTTTTACTATTTTCTAGTATAACATTGTTCAAGGGTCATACTGCACTATGACTCCTTAAGCATGGGAAGCCTCCAGCCCCCACCTGAGCATAACTGGCACTGATCCACCTTGATTCGAATGCTGGACAACTACACCTTCCTGTGACAAGTGCTTCTCCATGTAGCCATGCTGTCTTTGCCTTTCTGTTTTTCCACACATAGGAAGCAGAATTCCCCTGGGTTTGATGGATGGGCCTCCAGGTCTTGGTCTGAGTCAACCAGGGCAGAGACAGGGCAGTGGGGCATAATGCCACTTCTCTGCTGTTGCCTGGCTCTGGGCTCTTTGTCCCAGCCCACTGAGTCCTTTATTATAGTCCTTTTCCTCATCTGAGAACTATTCTCAGCCAGCAGCACGACAAGTTCCCACTGCACAATATTCCATTCTATATGCACTCTGTACTGAAATGCTGGCCTTTGTCATGTTGCCAGATTGTATCCCATGTTTTGAATTCTCTGGCCTCTTTTATAAAGAAGAATCCCCCCAATCACCCTTGAAATCTTTGAAATCATCAGAGTATCTTTTGTAGTTAGCATGCAAGTAATTTAACTCAAAAGGCAATTGGTATTCCTTATTTGAAAGAGAGAGAGAGTGTGCATGAGAGATGTTCTGCAAATGCCCTAAAAATACTCCTCAAGATGCTTAGGCAGTATATATCATTTTCCAAGGTAGCTGCTGTCTCTGCTTGGATTCATACAGAACATCAAAATTGGTTTATTTCAAAGGGAAAAAAGTAATGGTTTCACTGAGGTTTTTTTTTTATTTATTAAAGAAGAACGTTTTGCAACAATTGCAATCCAAAAACTAACAGTATATAGATTAACTTTAATAGTTAGAAATATACTCAAAATACAAAATGCTTTTAACTCACCCATTCCAAAGATCATGAAGTAATTACTTTAATATACTGCTACATTTACCTTCTAAGAATATTACAATGCAATGAATATTACAATTTTACCCACCATTTAACCCATCAAGAGTTTGTATATTCATTTCTATATATAAAATAGAAAACTTGGCTGGTAGACAGAACTTCAAAATATATTGCAATCACATTCAGTTTCCATATATTATTAATGTAATGTAATGTAATGTAATGTAATGTAATGTAATGTAATGTAATGTAATGTAATGTAATACATATATAAATAATATGAATAATATTACTCCACTCAAAAAATGCTTAGGAATATTCAATGCAGATTAGAACTCTACTTGGAAAAAGAGATGCCAGATGGCTTTAGAAAAGATCAAGATACATGAGACATTATTGCTGATGCATGCTAGATAATTGAAAAAGCCAAAGAATACCAAAAAGAAGTCACTAAGTACTTCATTGATTATAGAAAGGCCTTCAGTTGTGTCAATCACATCAAACTGTGGAATGTGCTCAGACAAATGGGAATACTAGAACATCTCATTGTCCTCAAGAAAAACTTATATACATGTCAGGAAGCCACAGTCTGGACAGAACATGGTGAAACAGACTGGCTCCAGGGTGGCAAAGAGTGCAACAAGGCTGTATCCTCTCCCTTTATTTATTCAACCTATATGCTGAATATATATGAAGGGAAGCTGGATTGGAAGATTAGTGTGATTTTAAAATTGGACAAAGAAATATCAATAACCTGTACGGTGTTGATGACATTACCCTGATAGCCAAAACTGCAAAGGATCTGCAAGCCCTAGTAATAAAAGTCAAGGAGCACAGTGAAAAAAAATGGGACTAAAATTAAATATAAACTAAACTAATTACACCAGGTAGAAAAACCAGCCTAAGAATTGACAATGAAGATATCAAAGTGGTGGACAACTTCTGCCTTTTAGGATCAACAGTAAAGGAACAAGCAGTCAAGAAATAAACCGCAGACTAGCACTTGGTAGAGTAGCCATGAAGGCCTGGGAAAAGATATTCAGATGCCATGATGTATCTATACCTATAAAGATCAGAATTGTGCAAGCAGTGGTATTCCCTGTGATCATATACATACATACATACATACATACATACATACATACATACATACATAGATACTTGTGTGAAAACGAAAGTACACCTTCTTTGAGTTCTATGGTTTTATGTATCAGGACATAATAAAAATTATCTGGTCCTTAGCAATTCTCAAAAGTAGGTAAATACAACCTCAGATGAACAACAACATGTATTATACCATGTCATCATTTATTTTACAAACAGAAAGCCAAAATGGAGAAGCCATGTGTG